AGAAGCCAGCTTCACCTCTGACTTTCCAACTTCACCTCTACTCCAACTCCCAACTTTCCTCTTGAACTACAACATACGAAGTAATTTTTGTTCTCTAGCTCAAGGTTAGAGACAAAATGAAAATGATGCCACCTGCTGGAAAACTAGATTTTCTTTATTCGGGTTGCAAAAGAGCTTTTACATCAAGATTGAGGTCTAGAAAGCCATCTCCCCAAGTCCTCCTTGCTCCCTAGAGTCAACGTTCTAGCTTGCCAGGGTTCTCTAGTGATTTGCTTTTCTCTTTCCTCCTTCTGAGCCTGTATCATTGAGAAAGTGGAAATAATGCCAAACTCTGAGTTAGAAAGTGTAACATTCTTGTCTTGTCTTTGGTCACTTCTTTGAGTTGCAGTTTTCACCTCTGTAAAATAGCAATAATAATTCCTGACTTCTGACCTTACCAGATTATTATTACAAGACACGAGATGCAGAAAGCTTGATAAACTAAAGTGCTATTTGTTTGTAAGGAAGTATTATTACTTTCCTTTCTCATTTATGTATCCAGGCTGGGCCAGTCTTAGGGGAATTGGTGCCAGACTCTGCATCTGCGTGTTTACTTTCCCAGGACTCTGTCCTACCTAAGGGGCAGAGACTGGTGAGGCTGCCAAGCCCATGTAGCCTGTGATTGACTTCCATTATCTTGCCATCTAGGAAATTGCAACACCATAAGCCAAACCATGGATTTGCCGACTCTCAACTTCTCCCAGCCATGGTTCCTACAGCTTGATAACTTGGGCCTGGGAAGCTTCCCCTCTCTCTACTCCACTGGAGACTCCAAGAAAGAATTTTGGTTTAATCTTCTCTTAGAACTTTGACTCATCTGCTGTAGATACTTGGCCAGATTGTCAGAACATTCTGGGAGTTCTCTGAAATAAGAGAATAATACAATACTTCTAGCTACCACTGAGTTCCTACCATGTATCAGGCACTATAGTTAGTACTTACCATGTTTAGTCCTCATAGCATCCTTTGAAGTAGGTATTTATTATTTGTAATTTACTGAAAAGAAAACTGAGGTTCAAAAAAGTTAAGTCTTGGGACTTCCCTGGTGGTCCAGTGGTTAAGACTCTGTGCTTCCAATGCAGGGGGCGCCGGTTTGATCCCTGGTTGGACAAGTAAGATCCCACATGCCACCCAGCGCGGGCCAAAAAAGAAAAAAAAAAAGTTAGGTCTTTTGTTCTAAATTACATAGTTAGTAAGTGGCAGAGTTGGAATTTGAACTTAATTCTTTTTTTTTTTAATTTTTTAAATTTATTTTTGGCTGCATTGGGTCTTTGTTGCTGCGTGTGGGCTTTCTCTAGTTGAGGCGAGCGGGGGCTACTCTTCATTGCGGTGCATGGGCTACTCACTGGGGTGGCTTCTCGTTGCAGAGCACAGGCTCTAGGTGCACGGGCTTCAGTAGTTGTGGCGCATGGGCTCAGTAGTTGTGGCTCGTGGGCTCTAGAGCACAGGCTCAATAGTTGCAGCACATGGGCTTAGCTGCTCCGCAGCATGTGGGATCTTCCTGGACCAGGGATCGAACCCATGTCCCCTGCATTGGCAGGCGGATTCTTAACCACTGTGCCACCAGGGAAGTCCCTGAACTTAATTCTATCTTATTCCAAAACTGTTGTTCTGACCACCATATACCGTGAGGCCTCCCATCACTATACAGGAAGAGGGGCCATGTGCAATCAAGGAAAACTCAGGAGATTTCCAGTCATATGATCTACATGCAGATCCCAACCCTGCCTGTGTGATCTGGGGCAAGTGGTTTTCAACTTCTCCAGCCACAGGTACTATCTCTTCACCACCATGTGACATAGGTGCTGTTCTTATCTCTGTTTTACATTTGAGGAGACTAGGCCTCAGTGAGGTGAAATGACTTGCCCAGGGTTACAGAAGAGTAATAGTAAATGGCCGAGCCAGAACTCATGTCTGGGTCTAACACCTGGTTCTGTCTTTTGTCCACCATTTCTCACAGCCAGCTCCCAACACCTAGTCTATCAGGCAGACTTACAGTCTCCGGATGCTGGATGGAAGCCTAATAGGAGGAGCAGGAGCCTTGCCCTCTTCTACTCTCACTTTCGCCTCCCATAGTCTCTCCTTCTTAGAAACCTTACCAAGGCAATATACACATTTGCAATTCAATGAAAAGGTTTATTCAGTGCTTACAAACTGCTCCAAGTACCCTACAGAAGCCTGGGGATCAGGGTCTCAGCCTCTGTGTGCGTTTGTGCTGTTAATTTGGTGGCGTAGTATGGTGGGAAGTGTTGAGAAAGTTCTTTCTGAGCTTTTTTCTTTATCAGTATACTCTTGTAAGGTTGGTTGCGAAACTTAGAGATGGTAAATATTCAAGGGCAGCAGGTGGGGCCTTATTAATTGATGGCGGTTATTTTCCCTGGCAGCAGGGTCTAATAGAAACCAGACTGGGAGTCAGGAGTCCTAAATCCATTACTCTCATATTCTTGGGCATGTGAAGTACTGTCTCTAGTCAGACTAGGTGATCTCTAAGGACTCCTTTCAGCTTTAATATCCTGTGCTTTTTAAAAATGAAAGTAATAGGGAATTCTCTGGCGGTCCAGTGGTTAGGACTCAAGGCTTTCACTGCCACGGCCCGGGTTCAATCCCTGGTTGGGGAACTAAGATCCCTCAATCCGCGTGGCACGGCTGAAAAAAGAGAAAGAAAGTATAAATGCTTGTTTAAAAAAAAATGAAAAAGGACAGCGGAAGACCTCAGCTTCCCTGTATGCAGTTCATTCCTGAGGTAACACTTGTGACTGTTTGTGTCCTTTCCATTGTTTTCTGTGTATTTTAAATATATACAGGTATGTTAAATATACATATTATATTATGATTTAATGTACTAAATATTATAATTTATATATGTAAATATATATAATACATATGGTATGCATGCATATGTGTGTGTGTGTATAAACATACACACATATATTGTTACATACCCTGGAACCTAGAATGCATACTGCATTATGACTTGATCCTTTTTCGCTCATTTTGAGCACTTTTTCTTGTTAGTACTTAAAGATATATTTTTTTTTTAATTAATATTTATTTTTGGCTGCATTGTGTCCCCGTTGCTGCGTGCGGGCTTTCTCCAGCTGCGGCTTGTGCGCTGTAGGCACGCGGGTTTCAGTAGTTGTGGCGCACGGGCTTCGTTGCTCCGCGGCATGTGGGATCTTCCCGGACCAGGGCTTGAACCCGTGTCCCCTGCATTGGCAGGCGGATTCCCAACCACTGGCGCCCCCAGGGAAGCCCTAATTAATGTTTTTTAATCTATTAAGTTATCCCCTAATGATTACAGGCCATGATTTTTTAAAGCAAATATACACATACAATGTTGAGTTTTTATTTTATTCATTTATTTTTTTTAGGAAAAGAAGAAAAAGAAACATAGAGACAGGAAGTCATCTGACTCTGACAGCTCAGACTCTGAGAGTGATACAGGCAAGAGGGCAAGGCACACGTCAAAAGACAGCAAGGCAGCAAAGAAGAAGAAAAAGAAGAAGAAGCACAAGAAGAAGCACAAGGAGTGAGAGTGGAAAGAGTGGAGGGGGTGGTGGAGAGAAGGAACCACGAGCCTTGTGCCTTGAAGCGCTGGCTCCTGGAAAGACTCAGTAGTGAGAATATGGCCTTCCACCCCGTTGACTTCTCTCCCATGGGAGATGGCTTCCCCTCCTGCCACAGGCAGGTTTGGGAGATATCAAAAGTATCTGCCTGAATGAGTTGTTTTCTTATCACTCCAGTCCCTTTGCAAGTGACCCCTGCAGCTGACCCATTCATTCACCCAACTTCCTTCATTCAGCAGAAGGTCCTATTACCCTCTTCCAGCTGCCACTGCCAGAGCCAGAGTCCAGGCTAGAGCCACAGGTACTGCTGTGGAGGTGAGTCTGGCTGTAGTTGGAGAACAGAGTGATTGGCTCCTCCCTGTTGGCCTTCCTTGGGCTGATTGGTGGGTGACCTCTGCTGCATCCAGCACAGGGGCAGAGGGAGACTGGCAGCACTAGGGAGAACATGGGAAGAAGTGGTGCTCACTTTCTCCATCCCCCTAACATGATTCTACTATGTTAGAAGTGACAGCCAGTGGTCACAGCCAGAAAACCATTGTTTGCAGTGACTGAGCTTGTGTGTGACGTTCTGCCCGATCACTGAACCAGACAGCTCAAGCCAAGATCATTGCTTTACTTTTATTTACTACAATGTGAATCAGTTGGTTCCATTTCAGGTCTCTGCTTAAATTCCTGGCCCTAAATGGAAGTGTGCTTGGTTTTAAACTTACTGAGAGTCCTTATTGGTATAATCCCTCTTCCTGTAACTTACAGACTTAAAAGTCACTGAGGCTGCATTAGGTGACAGAAAAACATTTAACATGTTACCTTAGACCTTGGAGAGCCGCCCAGCTAAGGTACAGCGCCAGAGGCACTAGCAAGTCACAGCCTTCTTAGATCACTTATAAGCCCTCACTTCTGTAATGATCAGATGACCTCTCCCCCAGGGCTGATTAGAGAACCAGTAAGAATTTGAACCATGAGTAATGGCCTAGCACATAGGCAGATGCTCAGCAGTCATCTTCGCCAGTGGGCATTTTCTCCCACTACCACTGGCACAAGCCTGGATCCTGTGTCCTAAGCCTGTGTTCTGGAAAGAGAGAGACCACAGCATTCCACAGAGAAGAGCAACTGTCCAGACCCAAAGGCATTCAGTGCAGGATGGACCTGAGGTGACAGTTCAGAAGCCCCACCACTGAGTGATTATTCCAGGTTGGACTAGCTCATTTGGCCATAGGGAGGGGACAGTGTAAAGGGAAGTTGTAGGTACAGCTGTTTTATTTTTTGTACGTGTAAGGTGATCAGCTATCACTGTCCCTGAGACTGTCCATTGCAGTCTCTCATCCAGTGCTTCTTCCTGAGTGGCAGTCGTTTATGCCTACTCTCTGACACACACAGAAACTGAGACTCCCAGAATCATGTCACCAAAAGCAAAAAGGCAACTGGGTGGCCTAGGTGCTGCTTTATTGACCTCAGAGCACCCTTTGGGTGCAGTTAAAAAAACAAACATACACAATGAGAACAGAACTGGTGCCACCTGACCCCAGGAGAATTTCCCCAATCAAGGTGGATTTATACAAAATGCCAAAGGAAAAAAATGAGTCAATCTGGTGCTGAGTCCAGGAGTAGCCAGCTGGCAGAGGAGGAGTTGTTGAGGGAGTGAGCAGGTCATGCCCCTTTCTCGTAAGTGCGAGTGCAAACTGCATTGCAGTGGGTGAGTGTCTGGAAGAAAAGACAGAGTCAGGTTAGGGCAGGAGTGTGGACACAGAAGGTATTGGGAATACTCTCCACTCTGATGGGGAGAGCCCTCTACCTTCATGCTAAAAATTTTCATTTACTGCCTACCTACTACGTGCCAGGCATTTTCCTAATGCTTACACCAAGTCTTCTTTTTTTTTGGCCATGTCATGTGGTTTGCGGGATCTTAGTTCCCCAACCAGGGATTGAACCCGGGCCACAGCAGTGAAAACACCAAGTCCTAACCACTGGACCACCAGGAAGTTCCCCTAAGTCTTTAAGTTAGGCATTGTAATTCCTCTTGTAGAGATTTGGGGAAATGAGCTTTCAGGAAGGAAGTAACTTGGTCAAGATCCCAGTGTTTCTCTTTCCCTTGTACCACTCCTCTCCCTTCATCTTTAGTGCCTAAGATGGTGCCTGGCACATAGTAGACCAACAGGTGAATAAAAATGTCCAGAGGCTCTTGGGGAAGGACTTTACTAGGCCACCAACTCTCCGTTCTTTCCCTAACTTAGGGTAGTGCCAGGGCCAGAGGCCTGAACCCCCAGCATCCTGCCTGGCATCATAGAGCCAGGCCCATGGTTTCACCATAGCTTAACTGCCCAGTGAGTATTTGGTGCTGTATATCACATTCCCACCAGAGCTAGGTAACTCATTATTAACTCTGCAGGGCCCCCTGCCCCGTGTAAGTGCAAGAATGCAGTGACCAGGTTACACTGACCCAAGAAGGTCTGCAGTGAAGATGCTGAGGCGAAAACCTGAGGCCCTACAGAATAAGGAGGCAGAGATCACGGGTGGCTGCTGTCTCCACCCCTGGGGGTGTTCAGTCAAGGCTACATTCTTCAAGTGAAGTCCCCAAGTTTGTCCCTAAACAGACAGATCTGCCAGCTTGTTTGTCATTTCCAACCCAGGCCTTAGGTACTTGTAGTAGGCCAGGCATGGAAAGCTCTGAGAGGAGGTGAGCCTGGAATGAAGTAGAAATGACTGTGCTGTCAGTTGGGGCCCCACCGATCACCAGCCTGTCCCTGCCCAAACGCTTGGGAGATGGGAGCCTCTCCTATGGGCCTGGAATCAGATTTGGCCAAGCTTTCTACCTCTCCCTGGGGCAAGGCAATGCGGCGGCAATGCAGAGGATGAAGCTAAGGCCATGGAGTGCGCCTACTGTAGTGGTCCCACACCAGTGATGCTCTGTGCTCTGCATCCACTGTCTCCTTCAGACTTCCCAGCAGCCCTACAAGGTTAGTGTTATTAACACCCACTTTACAGTTGGACTTGGAGAAGGTGACTTGTCCAAAGTCATGCACCCTATAAGCTGAGATTTAAACCAAGTCCAAAGCCACTACATAGAAAATTCCTACCTAATACCACCCAGGCCTGCCTCCACCCTCCATTGTTCCAGCTTCCATTGGTCCCACTGATGACCTTGGCTTTTCACAATAGGCTTGGCTGAAGGGGCAGTAGAAACGAATTGGGTGAGGCTCCAGAGTTATCCATCTTACCAGGATGAGTTTCCCAGCAACTACTTCCCGCACAAGTGTTGTCTCTTGTCCGTTCCACTTCTGCACGTGGACAAGTTTGCCTCCATCCAGCGTCACAATGGACTGTGGAAAGAGGGTAGAGGCCTGAGCTGAGATCTGAGCTAGGATTGAGGGGCAGGAAGGGGTCTGGTCACTGGGGCCACAAAGGACCCAGCCTCTAACCCAAACTATTGACAATGCTAGGATCAGAGATCAGGCAGCCCACCTCCAACCTAGCCCCATAGGATGTCTAGTTCACCACTGCTGCTTGGCCGGGGGAGGGGCCTTCAGCTGTTGGGCGAGTAGGGAGAGGCAGATAGTACAGTGGAGAGGAGCAGCCTGGCTCTGAGAAGTGCCACCAGCCTTCAGGATGGGCACTTATCCCATACTCTAGGTGATGCCCACAGCCCAGTCTCACTAAGATACAGAGTGGGGGGACCAGCCTAATGCCTGTGAAAGACTGGTGAGGAGGAGTAATCCTGAGACTCTCCGGCCAAGTGGTGATCACACATAATGTCTAAAAGACCCTTGGGGACGGGAGGTATTGGAAAATTGGACCCTGCCCCGTATTCCTACTCCTCTTGGTCCATATCAAGTGACCCCCTTGAGGTGACGAGTGGGCAGCAACCGCCAGGTCCTGGGCCTGCGGGCCCTTGGAGTGTTCCACAGCCCTGGTCAAATGTCCACTTAATCGTATGGGTTCTGCCAGCCTGCATCAGCTGGCTCTCATTTGGCAACTCTCCCAGGTCTCTCTTCTCTAGAAATTTGGGGGCTCTAAGCCAGGCTAGGGTACCCTGACTGACCAGGGTTCAGTAGAAGAGTCTGCAAAGGCTGTGTGTATGTGCTTTGTGGCCAGTGGGTCGGTGGGTGTGCACCCTTACCACCACCTTCCTCCTCATTCTCATTCCCCTAGCTTTTTGTCCATTCAGAGCAGGTTATGTTTAGCCTAGGCATCCCAGAGAACTACTGTTGTGTTTAACTGGGGTTCTTGCCCTTCAAGAAGGTAGGCTAGTTCAAGGAGGTAAAGGCATGTGGTAGGGCAGGCACCTCTATCCAAGGTAGGCTGCCATCTTTGGGTACCATCCCATCTCTGCTGCCAGCTTCCTGTATGATCCTGGGCTGGGCTCCAGCTTCCTCCACAGGGAGGAGATTAGACCCTCTCCTCTCCTTGGGAGCAGCTGTGAGGAAGAAGAAACAGCTGAGGAGCTGAATGGAAAGGTCTGGTGGAAAGGTACCGCTATAGGTACACCCTGTTGAGGGCAAAACCCCTTAGTTCTCTCTCTTCCATGCCTGGCTCAGTGGCTGGAAGGCCTGAGGCAAGCTGCCAAGACAGCCACCACCGGATGACAAGTCCTAAGACTGGGGGCAGATGTACTCTCCCTCCCCAGAAGGAGAGGGGCTAAGGCTTGGTGAGAAGACACTATAAACACACCAAAGACAATGCTGTATCCAGAATATAGTTTTTCCTGCCTGTAGGCTGGCAGCATTGGAAATGGTTTCTCAGGGTCACTGGCCAAGCCCTGGAAGTGGAGGCTGGAGAAGAGGAAGCATCTGAGTAGGTCTCAACCTCTTGTCCCCAGCTGTCTCCTTGGCTGCTGAAGGCCAGGATGACCTTTCAGTGGAGGACCTTGACTTCTGGGCATCGTTCCTAAAGCACCTGAGGTCACAGCCATGTCCACATAAGCCCCATCTATGGAAGGGGAAAGAAAGCCAGAGCTGTTGCATGCCATACACAAGGTTACCCAGCTGGAGCTGGCGTAGACAGTGAGGTCAGACTATCCAGGCTCTGTGCTGCCCGCTCCCAGAGGCAACAGATAGATGCTTCCCAAGATGGGAGGGAGAACAAGATAGGACTAACATGCATTTAGCACTTGGGACATCCCAGCACTGCACAGGCGCTATGGACCTCATTTGCCACTTCAATCCCCCATGACAGCCTACCCCTCAATGTGCAATAATAGGGCGCCACCGTAATCCCTTTCAGGGCCTTCCATTCCCCATGGACCCTTCCTCGACTCACCTTGACCTTCCTGTCATCTGCTGTTGTCTCATCGAACTCCACTCCCAGCTTGAAGCTGACCTCCGTGTTCTTAAAGGTGCTTTGTGTTTTTATGGTGATTGTGTCCCCGTTCACTTCGATGACTGTGGTAGGCTTGGTCACGTTAGCCACCTGCCTGGTAGCAAAACCCACACCTGAGGGCAGAGGGAAGGGTATGAGTATGAGCTGGAGCGAGAGGCAGGGTACAAGGAGCTCAGTGACCAACTCTTAGGCCTGGATGTGGGGAAGGGGGAAAAGAAGGGTGAGAACTTTCAAAGACTTTGCATGGCTGTTAATTCAGTCTTCCCGTTAGCTCTGTGTGGTGAAGAGACATTACTGATCCCATTAGACAGATGAGAAACTTAATGGACAGGCATGTCTCACAGCAAGTCAGTGGCAGAGCTGAGATTAGAATAAGCTACTATTAAGTGCTTTCTGTGTGGTAAAAACTACACGTGTAATCTCATTCAGTCCTTCCAGTCACCCTGAAGGATTGATGCTATTATCTCTATCTTACAGATGCAAAAACTGAGAATGAGTTAAAGCCCAGGGTCAAATCTGGAATTCAAATCCAGAATGTTTAACTGCAGAGCTCACTGTACGGCTCATCTATAAAGGCTGGAGCGCAAGGCTCCCTTCCAGGGCACCTGAGCAGCTTTCAAGGCACATGCTGAGGGAGAAAGAAGTAAATGTGGACTTTGCATTCCAGAGCCTATGGACAAGAATTTTCCACCTTTGAAAGTTTTTACCCTGAGATGCACTGGTGCTCTTGTCCCCCATGTATGGTAACAAAGACATTTTCCAAGCCTCTTAACCATGATCTAGGAGGAGGCAAAAGGGAGTGTTTGTCTCAGTGTGCAGATTTAGGAGAGGCCTAAAGTGGTAGGCAGTTAGGACTCCAATCCAGGCCTCCTGGTCTAAGGCTCTGTGGGAACTCCCCTCCTGACCCAAGCATGGCTTCCCTGAGTGCTGCAAGAGAGTGTGGAACAAAGAGCCCTGCAGGTTGTGGCTTTCCTGAGATCTGTCCTTTTGCCTCCAACCTCCCCCTCTGCTCCGAGCAGCCTCTGCTGAGCTGTCCTCCAAGGGCAGAGGCTGTGGTGAGGTGGTGGGTGGAAAGTCTCCAGATGTGCCTGGCTACATGGGTTGTTTTACTTAATGTTTATTACAGCCCTGAATGGTGGGTTTTATTATCCCCAATTTACAAATAAGGCTTGGAGAGTGAAGTGACTTTTGCCCAAAGTCAAAGGGTTAAGTGGTTGACCTAGATTTGAATTTAGGCTCTAAAACTGTTCACTTTTCCTCCTGGGCCATCCTGCTTCCCAGCATGTACTTCATCTGTGGCCTACGGCCACCAAGTGTGCCTGAGATCACCGGTACTAACTAGGCTGGGCCTCTTTGTCCTCTGAGAACTCTTGCTTTGAAACAAGAGGGGCACAGGCAGCTGTGCTGCTGCTGGCCCACCCTGCCTGGCTACTGAGGGACTTGGCCTTGCCCCCTGTTATCAGAGTGAGTCAGGTCAGTCCCACTCCCCAGCACAGAGCAGGGCCTTGTCACTGCACAAGGAGCTCTGTTTACTTAGGACCTACCCAGAGGTGTGGAGCGTTTGAGGAAGGAAGGCATTGTGGAGTGGGTGAGAGACTCAGCTAAGAGAAAGTTACAGAATTTGGAGTCCTGCGAAGAGATGGGTTCTACTTAGAAACGAAGCTGAAGCTATTTACTGAGAGCTAAGGAAGGTCTTTTCTCCCCCATGGGTATCTCATTTTTTCCATCTAAGGAAGGTCTTTTCTCCCCCATGGGTATCTCATTTTTTCCATCTGTACAACAGCAGGCTAGTTGGATTCTCAGCCCCCTAACCCAGGTTGGGGCAAAATAAGGGAGCAAGGGTGGTAAGGATGGTATGACTCACTTCAGGGACCCAGGTCTTCGGTTCTAAAGTCTGCTGGGAGACACTTGGGAGAGGAACTAGCTATGGGCATTCCACCTTCCCCAACAGCTGCCCAGGGTCCCCTACTTCTCCAAGAATTACTACCTTCCTGGAATCATTGGGCATAATGCTCAGCATAGAGTAGGGGCAGTTGAGCACTTTGGCCTTAAAAGCCAACAGTTGTGGTCCTTATTTCAGGGGTCAGGAACAGGTGGGAGGTGCCTGGAGTGGACCCCCCACCCCTTCTTTGCGTTATCCAGCCCCCCTTCCCTGGGAGGAAGGCATGGAACCTAGCTCAGTCATGAACAACATTCCAGTTTTCCCTATCCTAGCCTGGGGGACCAGGATAATCTCATAGCTGGGGATTCCAGAGAAAGGATATCACCCTCTTTGCCTAGCCCATGTTAGAAGGGGAAGGGCTGAGGTCAACGCTTAGTTAAGCAGTTCTTACCACTCCCACCCCTGGGATCCATAATGGGAACTGCTCTGGGTTGCCGATCTAGAAATCTAGGCTTTCATATCAGCTCTGCTGTGGAATTGATTTGACAAGTTTCTACTCTCTCTGGGTCTTGGCTTCTTCAACTGTTGAACCAAGGCACAGGGACCTCCAGAGTCCTCCTCTGCAAGATTCTTTGAATCTTCATTCTCCCCCATCCCAGCACCACAGCCTCCTAGACCAAAGACCCTCCCTGGCTTTACCAGGTCTTGGCTTTGCTCCAGGCCCCTTTGCGGTACCCCTCCACTAGACACCTCCCCAGTGAGCAGTTATCCTTGGGTTGCAGCTGGTGATGGGGCCTCTTGCCCTACCCTACCACTAGGCTGGTTGGTGAGAAAGAGGGCACCCTGCAGCGACAATCCTTTACCCTAACTAACCCAACGTAGAGGGTGAGGGGTTGTTGCTAACTGTGCAGGCCCCTGTCTCAGCTCCTCATATCCTGTTCAGGGCTGTTCCCCCTTCCATCTTCTTCCTCCTGGGGATCCCCTACTTTAGGCCATAGGACACTTCCCATCAATCTGCCCCCTTTCACTGTTCAGTCTCCAGTTCTTAGACCACCCATGCTCCTCTTCTTTTCCTCCCTCCCCTCCCGTTTTATCCAAACCCGGCCCCTACCTCCAGATCAGAAGCCTTTCTTCCCCGAAAGCGCCTCCCTGCCCCCACATCGACCGACACAGCTGCCTCCTTGAGCCTCCTTGCCTGGGAATCCCTCTTGCCAAGTTCAGAACATGAAAGCCCCCTCCCCGGAATTCCCTGGCGGTCCAGTGGTTAGGACTCTGCGCTTCCACTGAAGGCGGCAGGGGTTCCATCCCTGGTCGGGGAACCAAGATCCCGCGTGCCGCGTGCCGTGTGGCGAGCGCGGAACTGGAAGAAACCCCTCCCAACAGGCCTCGAATGCCCTAGCGCAGGCTGCCACCTTCTCCGCATCCCCGGGTTCCACAACTTTTACCAGGAGGGATGCAGCAGGCGTGCAGGGTAGGTAGCCACAGCTGGAGCGCCGCTCCGACCCGGCACGCGGCCAGCCCATCCCCAGCCCAGCATCCCGAGCCGCCCTCACCGATTGACTTCATGTAGTCATCGAAATTCTTGCTGTCCACTAACTTCCAGGTGCCCACGAAGGCGTCCACCATGGTGAGGCTGGGCTAGGCTGAGAAAGAGACGACAGAGCACGCGTGCAAGGATTCCGCGACCTGCGGCTCCCAGCCCGCGCTGCAGCTTTAAAAAGCCCTTGCATCACGTGACGGGGCGTGTCCCACACCCCGCTCCCGAAATAGGAAGCCCCAGGCAGGCGCTAGCTAGCCTGGGGCTGGCCGCCCATCCCCCAACCCGCCGGGGGGAGGGGGAAGGGGCACCCTGTGGCGCCCGGCTCGCCTACGTCAGCGCGAGTCCCGGGGGTCCGAGTCCCTGCCCCGGGCTGGTAGGACCTACTTCCTTCCCTGGCCTCAAGGCGCTCTTCAGAATCTAAAAAGAAAACAGTTCGGGGCACGGTGCCCGTGAGCTGGGGCTCACGCCAGGGACATCTTCCCTCCCCTGGTCCCTCCCCGAGCTTGAGGTCAGAACAGAGATGAGAGTCTAGAGGAGAAAGGAAACTTTTGGGCTGATGCCCACGCCGGGAAAGCTCTGGCCGACTCTTCGCGGCGCAAGCATCTCGGTCTTCATTTTACAGGTGACGGGTCCAGGGCTCAGAGGGGGAGTGACAAGGTCGCAGGAAATAAAGAGTGAGTTGGAGTCCAGATGGCGAGCCTGGTCTAGCCGGCCCCAGACCCTGCGCTCTGCCGCCACTCCCCACTGCCCGGTGGAGGGGAGAGTCACCGCGGGCAGCGAGTGCCCTCCGCCTGCTCCGGGCAAAAGCGTGACCCTTCCCGTCGCGCCGCGCCTGCTCCTCACGTGCTCGCCCCTGCCTACGGAATGTCTCCCGCGCTAGCCTTTCCCTCCTGCGGTCCAACTACCCCTCCACCGTGCCAGTGCGCCAGGCTTTTCTGATCTCTACGCACAGCTCCGAGCATTTGCTCCGGTCGGCCGTTCCCTCCTCACCCGCCTTCAGAAATTCTGTCCTTCCAGCCAGCTCTTCAAGGCTCAAGGACAGCTCCCCGTTCTGCCTGACTGCTGCGGCCCCCACCTGCTGCCCTTCTCTGACCTCTGCACACTGGCAGGCAACCGGCACTTTCAGAGACGCAGTCACCTACCTTGTTTGACACTACAATTTCCAAAGCACTTTTAATAACAATCAGATCCACCTTGTATTGCTGTTTATTGCACGCTGAGAGCTTTCAGTGCATTGTCTTATTGAACTTTTAAAACAAAGCCCCTGAAGCAGGTGTTATTATTATCCTTTTTACAGATGAGCATAGATGAAGCTTAGAGGAACCCATTCATTTCTTAATCCAGCAGTTATTAAAGCACCTACTTTGTGCCAGGCCCTGGGCTAGGCTCTGGAAAGACAACCACGAACAAGACACATGCTCATGAAGGAAGACACAAAACATAATGGAGTGGTGCCCAGCTGAACTCGGGCCCGCAGAGGTCCTCACAGAGGGGCCCAGGAGGGGCCCACCAGCTCTGCCACACATGTATCAATACAGAGTGGTGGGCTGCCTCCCTGTACCTCTGTTTCTCCGTGTGGAAGTAGAGAACATCTGCTCCCTTCCCCTAACTTTCTGGGAAGAAGGCCAGGGAGGAAGAGCCCTTTCTCTCCCAAGGTCTTGGTTCTTTTGGACAGGTCCACTTGCCAGAAGACCAAGGGGGCTTATTTCTGCCAAAGCTGCAGGACAGGCCTCCGGGCTGGGCACAGAGCCCTAGTGACCTCACTGCCGGAGCAGGTACAGGGGGAGGAGGGGGATGGGATAGTTTCTAACTCAAGGGCACAACCTTTAGACACAGGGCCTCCTCCTCTCTCAAACGCTGAGTGGCTGGAGGGAGAGCCAGGGACCAGAGCTCTCTCCCTACATGGTCTTTATAAAGCAGTGCTGGAGAGCTGGGGCTGGGCTAACAGCTGCTGGCAGATAGATGTGGGTTCCAGTTCTGATTCCAGTGGGTACTAGCCGTGGCTGTGGGCAGCTCACTTAAACCACTCTGAGTCTCAGTTTCATCTCGAAAATGGAGGAAATGACAATATTTACCGTATAGAGGTGTTGGGAGATCAAATGAGATAATGTATTTAAAATGCTGTACAGTGGTTAAGAATCCGCCTGCCAATGCAGGGGACACAATGTTCGAGCCCTGGTCCAGGAAGATCCCACGTGCCGCGGGGCAACTAAGCCCGTGCGCCACAACTGCTGAGCCTGCGCTCTAGAGCCTGCAAGCCACAACTACTGAGTCCGCATGCTACTATTGAAGCCCCTGCACCTAGAGCCCCTGCTCCACAACAAGAGAAGCCACCGCAATGGGAAGCCGCACACCACGACAAAGAGAGTAGCCCCTGCTCGCCGCAACTAGAGAAAGCCCGCGTGCAGCAATGAAGACCCAATGCAGCCAAAAATAAATACAATAAATAAATTAAAAAAAAATTTTTTTTAATGCTGAGCAAGGTAGATTGAATAAATGTTTGCTTGCTACTGCTGCTGTTATTATCTCCATGGATAGTGCAGGGCTCCTAAGACCTGGTATCAGCTCTGCCCCTCACCTGCTGGGCCACCCAAGGCAGATTGCTTTGCTTCTCTAATTAGCTTTCTTATTTCTAAGACAGGATTAGAAACCGCTGTGGCTGTGAGGAAGTGGTATAGAGATCTTCAGGGTGGGCTGAGGGGGACGCTGCCAGAAAGTCCTTTTGCTTCCTCTCTGGGGCCCTGCCTAAGTTGAGCAGCATGGTGCTTTGAGGAACTCTAGACAAACCCCAGACCCACTATTCTCACTGCCCTAACCCCATCTCCCCACCGCGCTCAGACCTGGCTCACCAAAGTTGACGCCTAGCCGCACCCTGTCTCCTTTCCACGTGACTTTTATCCTTATCCCTTCTAGGTATTTGCAGCCTTTTCCTCATCCCTCTGATTACCTGCACCCTCCCTGCCCTTTTATGCTCACTACCTTTGGGGAAAGAGGGGCAAGAGGAAGGAATGTGAGCCCTGTCCCTTTTCCTGCCCCCCTTTCTTGCCCTTGGTAGATCCAGATGTGGATTTAACATCTAGCAAGCAGCAAGACCAGTCCCTGCCAAGAGCAGTATCGCCCCAGCCCTCACCCTATAGTGATGTCACTGTACTATGTTTCCACGGCAACCACAGGCTGGAAAGATAGAGGAGAGACGAGTAACCAGGAGAGAGCCAATGAGATGGGCTGGCAGCACCGGATGATCCGTGGGGCCATGGGGAGGCAGGGAGAGGGAGGCCTACTCAGCATGTTCAGCTGTTCCCTGGACTTCCCTGCCATCTGGACGCCTCCACTAGGGGATGTGCTGCTGGAGCGGGGGAGGTATGAGAGGTAGAGGCCAAAGAAACTGAGCTTGGAGGTCCGCTGACCCAGGGACTTGGAAACCTCCCTTTACCCCTTCTGGGGCTAAGTCTATGGATGCTGACCCCCCTCACCCCACTCCCAATACCTGCAACTGGGAGTTTTTCTCTTTGGTTAGTTAAGGGGGTGGGGCTCTCTGTCTCTGCCTGCCAGGGAATCAAGTCTTAGACAGCCCTTCTTGCCACACCCTCCCCCCTCCCTTGGTGCATGTTCTATTCAGAAGCAGTATCTTTGGAAAGAGTCCTGGTTCTAAATCCCAAGCCGGACTTCCCTGGTGGCCAGTGGTTAAGAATCCACCTTCCAATGCAGGGGACGCAGGTTCCATCCCTGGTTGGGGAACTAGGATCCCACATGCGGTGGGGCAACTAAGCCCATGCCCAGCAACTAGAGAGCCTGCTGCTGCAGCTACAGAGCCCGCACGCTCTGGAGCTCATGCGCCACAACGAGAGAGAAGCCCGTGCACCACGGTGAAGGGCCCGCGTGCCTCAACGAAGATCCCGTGTGCCACAACTGAGACCCGACACAGCCAAAAATCAATCAATCAATCAATCCCAAGCCTGCCACTTACTAGCTAGAGACCCAGAGCAAGTGCCTTCCCCCTTCTGAGTCTCCTTTCCTCCCAAATGGAGGTAGGCCATCTACTTCTCCGAACTGTCATGAGGATTGAAAGAGATAACATATGGAAAGCCTAACACACACTAACACTCAATGAATGGTGACCCCCTTCTCCCTTCTGGGTCCCCTCCCCAGGGCAGTTGACCCAGCAGTGCCCAAGAATGAGCCAAGTCCCTTTGAGACCCTGAACCAATAGAAGAGGATCCAAATATATCTCCTCCTCACTGACGTCACTGAGTGCCTTCAGATGCTGCAGAGAAGTTTCCTCATCTCTCCCTTTCTCTTCAAATAAATTGAGCGTTCCTACGCCCAGCACTGTGCTGGGCTCAGTGGGGACCCACTGACAGAACAGGAGAGACACAGCCCTGCGCCCCCTGAGCTCACAGTGTGCGGGGATTGCAGCCACAGTGGGTGGAATGGAGTGTTCTTTCTGTCACTAGGAAATCGCTTCCTCGTTCCCCCAGAGTTCTAGATACTGTGGGTCTGAGAGAACAAATGATGGCAAAAGATAGAGGCTTGCTCAACACCGGTTTGCTTCTGCGAAACGGCTGCCTGTGGCAGAATGCTCCCTGGAAGGAGAACAGTGGCTCTCCTTACAGGGAGGCGTGTGGGGTGGGGTGGGTGAGGGCAGCTCCTAGTGAAGGACAGTCACCCCTCCTTCCCAGAACCGGCCGTGCGCCCTGTTGCTGACGGAATCAAGCCCAAACTCTTTAGCCTTGTCTCATGTGTTTCGTTAGACCAATTTATTACTGAAATCCTGCTCCAGGAAGAGTGCCTGGCAGATAGTAGGCATGAATGAATGACTACTGAATATTGAAGGAGTGAATGAGCATATTGAACGTGCAAATGAATGAGTGAGTGAGTGAGTGAATCCATCTATACCTCCGCAGCTTTAGGGGCTCTGGAGTGAGACTCACTTGGGTTGCAGTCCTGCCCCTGTTACTTACCTCCTAGCTGTGTGACCTCAGGCAAATCATGATCTCTCTGGGTCTCCATTTCTCCATCTGAGAAAAACACAACACAGTCCCCACCCAGCCGACCTCCCAAGGACTCTGGGAAGATAAAGAAGCAGGGTGAGTTTGGGAATGCAGCACAAAGGTTAATTGTCTCTCTTCTCAGCCTGCTTCCCTGGCTGCCCCTGACCCTCAGTGCAAGACCCACACCCCTT